GTGTGTCTCAAGGGACTTCTGGAAGTCTCTGGCCCAATTCCCCTGCTCAAAGCAGGGCTCTCTCCCAAACCAGGTCATGTTCATGCAATGAGGTTGTGAAAATCTGCAAGGCTGGAGATGCCACAGCCTCTCTGGGCCTCTGTCTCAGTGCTGGACCACCCTCACTGCAACATTACGCAAGAATTCTTATAAATTCTTACGAAACTCTCCTTTCTGCTAGCTTTCCAGGCATGTCATCTATGGCTCTTGGACATGTAATATTGTTGATGTGCATCATACAAAGCTTGGAAAGACAACTGTCCTGTGAGTGCAAGTCATCTTGTTTTCTTCACATGTGCAGATTTGAAAGTTCACTTTAAAAGACTGAAAACCTGCGGAAGTTGTTCTAGTTCTTCAAAGTTCAAGAGACTCTGCTTTGAACTCATCCATGATACAGTGTGGGGTACAAAACCCAAATCCAGCCAACATTTTATTGTGTAATGTAGACCCTACGCACTGAGCTGTGTGACTGTATTTATTCCTGTGTGCTCAGACACAGCAAAGCATTTTGGAGAGAGGATGGGTTAGTGAGGCACATTGCCATGTGTAACTTTTTTCAGAAAACTTTTCTGTGGCAAACAGCTCCTCTTTGCAATGCTTGTGCTCCCCCGGTGTAGGCGAATGAGGCTGGAGGCGATGCACAGAGATGGTGCCAGCTGTTCACTGGCTGGAACAACTCCGGAGAAGATGCCATGGCTCCGTGCGTTCAGGTTTGCATTTGGCTCTGAGTCTGAGGGGGTATGTGCAAAAATAACATGTAGCAAGGAAGCTGCTGGTGAGCGTTTGTCCCGAGGAGGCTTGTGTGCCATTTGCAGAGATTTGCGTCAAGCAAATTCAGGAAATTGCCCCTGTGATTTACTTATGACTATGGTGGGGACATGGCACAGAGATTGTTCCACCCCATATCTGAGGTCACCAGATTGTACTGGGTGTGCAGTTTCTAAAAAAAAAAAAAAAAGTTAGACCAAGAAGGTAGGAAGCAGTTGGATGCCCAGATCTAGTCACTGGTGAGCTCTTCCCCATAATTTAGTCCATTATGGAGAAGACCTCTGCTAAGCTTCTTACAAAAAGCCACGCAATCCACAGCATGCCCACAGCTGCGTGGGTGCCTTGCCTGATGCCTGTGCCAGGAGTTCACCATCACTGACTCGATTACTTACATTTTTAATATGCATGTGTATATCTGGCCACTTAAGTACTCACATGCTACAGATAGGTAAAGGCTGTGAAACACTCTGCTGCATAAACATGCCACAGTATTAACCTGCGGGAGTTTGTTTGGGTCCGGAGCCACTGAACGCAAGCAGGGTGTTCGGCAAGCTCTGTCGAATGCAGAAGCGACCGTGAGAGAGCGACTGTAACTGCCTTAACGGCTGCCACAGGCTGGAAGCAGTTGTGGGGAAAAGCCGCGAGGGCTGGAAACCAGAGGGAAGGTAAATAGAATAAACCTCTTCCATCCACCACGGGGCTCCTGTTTACTCTCGGCTCTCTACTTCTCTCCTGTGCGACGGCACCCGCGTTGGTATTCGCTCCGGGGCAGTGAGGCTCTGCCCCCCCAGCCTCCCACCACGGCGCTTGCGGCCCGACGGGCTTTCGCCCCCCCCCCCCCCGCCACAGCTGGCGCAAGGGCTGCGGTGTTGCACTGGCGTGCTTCGGAGGGCAAGGGACTCTCTTGTTTCCTGCTATTTGCGAGCGCGCCACAGAAGGTAACCAAGTGGGGAGCGGTTTATATTGGCCCCTTAGTGGCTTTTCTAGATCTGCAGAGGCTGTTGGCTTGCTTTGTATGGATTTCTAGCTGATCACTGGTGCCTCTAATAGCGAGAGATAAAGTAACACCCCTGCCTTTAAAGCACTTGAGCTTCCAGCTGAGTGTTGAGGGCATGTGCTTTTTTAAGCCTGTGGATGGGCTGGTGGCATTGCTTGGCCCTGCTTGAAGGCTTTGGAGCGGGATGGTGGGCTGAGGCGGGCGCCCCGCCCCCCCCC